TCCAGCTGCGAGCCCAGGCAGAAACCGCGCATGATCGCCGATTCCTGTCTGTCACCAAAGCCCTTCAAACCGGAAGTTTCCATGGCGAACCTTTTTGTTGTGGTGTGCCAAAAGCGCACGTGCTCCAGCACCCCAATGCAGTGCGCCCCCACGCATGTGCATGCAACATCCCGCCCCCACCATTACCTGCACTATGTATGTGCACGCCTCCCAGCTGATTTTTGGGCCATTTGAGGCCGTTTTCGCCCTCCTGGAGGCACGAGGGAAGCCTTTGCAGCCTCTGGAAGGTGAAAACAGGCCCGTTTCGGCACTTCTGATATTTACGGAAGGCCCATTTTTCGGCCTCCTGAGGCTGCCAAGGCTTCCCTCGTGCCTCTGGGAGGGCGAAAATAGCCTCAAATGGGCCGAAAAAAAGCTGGGAGGCACACACATGCACAGTGCAGGTAAGTTTGGCTGGGGCTTGTGTGCCCTCACATATGGCTCTGCGTGCCACCTGTGGCACACGTGCCATAGGTTCGCCATCATGAGTATAGGGCACTGAAGATGGCTTAGTGTGTTTATCTAGTTATGAGCGAAGATGGGAAATATTGTGTAGTTTCTGGTCCCTTTCACAAGGTTGTATGGTTGACATGGACATCTTGTTGTACATGAAGAACAAATGTTCAGAGCACAGACCATGAGAATGACAGGTAGCTGAGACTATTCTTTTGCTTATATAATTTGTAGTAATGATATAATTGTCATAATTGCACACCAAATTTTCTTGGGTTGGAGGGCCTCAGAGCTTTAATGTGATTTTTACCTGATGATTTTATAGCCTTGGAAACAGAGTTTGAGGGTTCTTGAGTGATCCAAAAAAACATATTGCATTTGGGCTTTAAAAATGGAAACATTAGTTTCTCTCTTTGCTTCCTCCCAAATAACTCCTCCCCTAAATTTTATTATGTAAGCTTTTAAAAATACAGATACTTGTGGTGCTCTTAAAGGATTAATGAATATATTAAAATTAATCAAAGTTTAAAAATCAATAAACAAAGGAAAAGGAGAGAGAAAGGCATAGAAATTATATTTTGGCACAGTAACTTAAAAACAAATGTTGATGGTGTTACTCAAAAGCTATCTTCTTTGCTCCTTTGTTAAAAAAAAAATCTTGATTTGAAAGACCGCTTATATAGATAGATGACCCATTGCTGTCTTATGGAATAATAATTCTTTTTATCAACACTGATGCTGGAAATCCTCCCAAATAACTCTGTGGCATCAGTGGAAACATAACTTCTAAATAAAAATTATGTTTGGGATTATGAAGCCTGTTATTTCATTAGAAAGAAATGAATCCTTTCCCTGTTGAGACCAGAAACTAACAAATGATTTTTCTTCATTCATGTGCTGTATTCAGAAAAATTGGGATGTAAATTGTAAGGCAAAAAAGGACATACGGGTGGGTAGTCCTCCACTTATGACTACTTGGAATTGTTACTGCAGTTACTGTAGTAACTGTTTGGAATTGGAGTAGTGGAATATACTTTATTGGCCAAGTGTAATTGGACACACAAGGAATTTGTCTCCAGTGCAATAAACACTCAGTGTATGTACAAACAACAAAATGGTAAATCATAAGTCATAAGACTAAATCATAAGATATAAACACAAGTTATAAATCATAAGATGCCAATAAGAAGAAGATATTAGGAAAAAAAGGAAGGATAATAGCAATACAGCCCTATTACATGGGTAAATTCCTTTAGGCATAAGTCAATGCTGTGGGAGTTATGTGTTTAGCAGAGTGATGGCATGGGGGGAAACACTTTTTATTTCATTTACAGTATTTATTTTATAAATAAGTTTATTGGCCACCTGTGTTATCTTGGGATTACTCTGGGCAGCTTATGTTATGCAACCACCCCCCCAAAAGATATTTATACCACATGAACATATTTTGTGTGTTTGGTGGTTGTTTACAGCAGCCCCCAATGACAGGATTGATTTACAACATTTTTTCTAAAAAGTGGCATTTACTTTCGCTTTTTAGCAAAAATACCCATAAAGAACAATGGGTTCATTTAATGACCACCACAAGAAAAGATTGTGAAATCCGGTCAGTCGTGTGGGTGACTGGCTTGACCATCCTCATGACTTAATGGCATAAGTTGAGGTCTAAGTACGGCCTCCTAGTACAGAAACTACAGATGGTATCGATGTTAGCTGACAGGCATGGGTTGTAATAAATGGTATTTTGTTATGACTACAGGTACACTGAGACCTGTTTCATGTTCAACTTGGCTGTAAGAAGAAGAGCAAAGAAATTTTAGCTTTGATTGGTAGCTGTCTAAATACTGTAGGTGTTTCTCAACCTTGGCAACCTTTGAGAGATGTGGACTTCAACTCTCAAAGGTTGCCAAGGTTGGGAGACACAGGCCTAGATTCTTCAAGAAGTGGGTGGCATACAACACAACCAAACAAATTCTGAGCAGAAGCTGGAGTTTGAAATAAGAGTTTGTTGAGCAGAATAACAAGGAACAAACGGGGCTTCTTATTGGGGAGAAAGCATTTTTTAAAAATAAAGTGTACTTAATTTCCCTTCTATTTAAAATATTAATGGGGGTGTGATCTTGCATTTGGCAGCATGTTTGATTAATGCCTGAAGGGAGATGTACTTTAAAAATGTAATTGTGTCAGGGTGACATGCAGTTTTTTAAATATTTGGCTTTGGTTGCGGAAAATCCTATTTCATAAGGGAACATTGAAGGAAAACTCTTTCCTGTTTGTTTCACAAAGAAGCATACATTTGTCTGTTAATTTCCTACCGATTGTCTTTTTGTAGCTTTTGTTTTTCCCCTGACAGTTGTTCTGACAGGGTGTCTGAGGAGACATCTGCCAACATTTTCTCTTCATTCATGGATGGGCCTCATATTTGATTAGTGAAATTGAATGAACGGAGGCTGCATTCACAAAACCACAGTGCCTCTTGGAACAAGTTCCTGGAATAATGTCAAGTTATTCTGTGCAACATAAAAACACTCGGTTTTAGTGTCCCACGGTGATAAAAAAACATACCAGCCTTCTCCCAAAGTGGAAGTGCAACTCCTACCCTTCTCAGGCTATAATTTTCATGCCGAATGGTGAGGATGATGGAAATTGTAGTTTGAAACGCTCAGGAACCTTGCAATAGATTCAGAGAGGTGGGTTGCTACTGGTTTGCCCTGGTTCGGGCAACCCAGTAGCTAATTTTATGGCCGGTTCAGTGAACCGGTAAATCCCATCCTTGGCTGGCCCTGCCCCTCCCAGAAGTCCCCACGCAGCCTGTTTTGGGTGCCAGGTAAGTGCAGGGCCCGCACGAAGGCTCAGGAGGGCGAAAAATGGGCCTCCTGGAGGCTCTGGAAGGCCAGAAATGGGCCTGCTTCTGACCTACGGAGGTCCCCTTGAAGCCTGGGGAGGCTGTTTTTGCCTTCCAGGAGGCTCAAGGAAAGCCTCCGGAGCCCGGGGGGGGGGGGCGAAAACAGCCTCCACCGCCATGGTGCAGGAGGCTGACTAGGCCGCACCCACCCAGCAACCAGGCAAAGAACCAGTTGCTAAAATTTTTGAAGGCCACCCATGAATAGATCTGGGATTTTCCTCTGCCTTTCCAAAGATAGGGAAAGTGTAGGCATAATCTGGTCTACCACCTATTAATGCCCTAATAGAGGTAGTCCTCAACTGACAACAGTTCATTTAGTGATCGTTCGAAATTATAACGGCACTGAAAAAAGTGACTTAATTTTGTGTTTTTCACAGTTACGAACATTGTAGGGTCCCCATGGTTTACGTGATCAAAATTCAGAGGCTTGGCAACTCACTCATATTTGTGATGGTTGCATCGTTCCCGGGACATGTGGTGATCACTTTTTGTGACCTTCTGAGAAGCATAGTCGATGGGAAAGCCAGATTCACTTGTGTCAAGAAAGGACATAAAATGGGACCAAACTCGCTTAACAACCGTCTTTCTTAGCAACAAATTTTGGGCTCTGTCAGTTGAGGCTGTCTGTATAAATGGATGGTGCAGCTTCAGCTGGATATATGGTGTAAGAGGCCTGGTGGTCATACCTACAAAAATATATTGTGGAGCCAGGGAAAGTTCAGAGGAGGCCAACTAGGATATTAAAGAGACTGGATCTCCTTCCCTTTCAGGTAAGGTGGCAACATTTGAGGTTTTTTGGTCTAGAAAAGCAGTGAGTCAGAGGAGACATTGAGGTATACAAAATTGTGCATGGTGTGAATAAAGTAAGAGGAAACATGAGTAAGAGGAGACACTGAGGTGTACAAAATTACGTCTGGTGTAAATAAAGTGAACAAGGAGAAGCTGTTTTTCTCTTGCCAAAATACGAAAACCAGAGGTCACCCAACGAAATTGAATCACCCTGCTCCTTCCAAAAGAGAAACTTGTTTTGTTTTGCACCTTGGGGGCTTCAGCTTGGAGTTCAGTACCCCAAGATGGGCTGGTTATCAACTTGGCTGGTTTCTAAAATGGATGGCACTACTTCATAGAAACCACGGGGGCCAATCGCTGTTTGCCCTGATGGCAGTGGGACTGCTTTGGAGGCCAGCTGATGGGAAGCTCATGGGTTTCCTTGATACAGTTGTTTGTTTGCTGGGATGATGAACTACTGGATTATTTTATTCTTTTATTCATTTGATTTTTATCCTGCCTTTATGATTGCTTATAAATAACTCAAAGCGGTGAAATATGTAATAACCTTTCATCCTCCTATTTTCCCCACAACAACAGAAAATATGAGAGGTGGGCTGCGTTGAGAGAGAGTGACCAGTCCAAAGTCATCTAGTTGGCTTTCAGTCCTGAGGTGGGACTAGAATTCAGTCTCCTGTGATTGATCCACAGTCACTTAACTGACCTTCATGCCTAGAGTGGGACAAGAACTCACAGTCTCCTGGTGATTCAGTCACTTAACCTAAGGCTTTCATGCCTAAGGTGGGACTAGAATTCACAGTCTCTTGGTGATTGGCCCAAGTCACCTAGTTGACTTTCATGCCTAAGGTGGGACTAGAACTTAGAGTCTCCTGGTGATTCAGTCACTTAACTGGCTTTCCATGCCTAGAATGGAACTAGAACTCCCAGACTCCTGGTGACTCAATCACTTAACCGGCTTTCATGCCTAACGTGGGGCTAGAACTTACAGTCTCCTGGTGATTTAATCACTTAACCGGCTTTCATGCGTAAGGTGGGACTAGAATTCAGTCTTCTGGTGATTGGCCCAAGTCACCCAGTTGACTTTCATGCCTAAGGTGGGAGTAGAACTCAAAGTCTCCAAATTTGTAGCCTGATTCCTTAGCCAGTAGACCAGTGATGGGATTCAAAAAAGTTTTACCACTGGTTTGGTGGGCACGCTTTGTGTGCATGCACACACTTTGTGTGCGTGCGCACCAAATGTACACTTTGCGCAGGCACAGAGGTGTTCCCACAGATGCAGAGGTGTTCCAACTCACCTCCTGGAAGCCTGCACTCTCCCGGTCGCTTCAGCAGCTGCCGCGCAACACTCTGCTGTGCTGCGCAAAGCAGCTGCACTTCAAAAGCAGGGGATAAAGGTGAGTATGGAAGCCCAGGTGGGCGGGTGGGCCCAACAGCAGAGCAGTGGAGAGAACCGGTTCTGTCTTCACTGCTCATCGCTGTTACTGGGTCAGCAGAACTGGGCTGAACCGGTAGAATACCATCACTGCAGTACACCAAACTGGCCCTTAGATGAACCAAAGGTGTGATCCAGCAGGGCGCTGCTTATGTTCTTAGGTTGGGGAGAAAAGCAAGATATCGTTGGGTGAATTAATTTTGCAGGTGAAACAAGAAAGAAGCAAATAAAAACATGACAAAACTGGAGCTGGGGTTTTAAGCCGAGTCTTGCCATTTGGTTGTCATTTCATTCATGTGTGTCAATAACAAATCAGATCTGCAGTTGGAAAATCTTGGCTTTTTCCCCAGACCAGATCCGCTAACATGTATTGCCTTCCAACGTGGTCATCCCCGGGTTTTGAAACGCGAGACTTGTCCCTAAAGGCATCTGAGGTGAGAGATCCTTTAAATAGACTTGAGTGGAAGATCCACCAATCTTCGAAGGCAGATAGGTTGGTACAGGTATTTGTTGGAGAAAAAAAATAGCAATATTGGCACTTTCAAGGATCAGTGGAGGATTGTAAGAGGCATCTAATGCTGAGGACACCCTAGGGAGCTCTCTTCCTGGCCGTACCGTGTTGAGATGGATAGCAAGCAAATATGTTGGCTTGCTTCAGCCCAATAGCATTTTTCCAAGAAACTGTGATTATGCGCCAAATGTGTTTACATGTGGAGGAATTGAAGCATTTCCAAGCCCCGTTCCATTGGCAGCGGTTCGCCTCCAGAAATGTCTGGCATGAAATAGGGTCCCCTTGCAACCTCAAACCATGAATCTTGGGGAGGAGGTCATTTCAGTTGAAGGCTGGAGAAATTGCACTACCGCGTTATTTTATTCAATGAGGATGATTTTAATTTTTTTTCTGCCTTTGCTTTAGCCAACACACAGCCTCCTGGAAGAATGAACTTCTTGACAGTTTCAAAGAGCTTTGGCCACGAGGAAACTATGAGAACCTACATTCTCCTTGGAGACGGGGAGGGAAAGTGAGATAATGGGATATTCCTTAGAGTAATCTTTCCAGAGCTTGTATAATCTCTGCCATACAAAAAATGATCACAATTGCAAATATGCCTATATTTTTAAATGTCAGGATCCTGATCTTCCTGTTCATGTCAGTAAAATTAGGACCAGGCCAAACTGAAAAATATTCTGGGGCTGTTCTCTCAGGAACTGATGGCTGAGATATTTTAAAAATGAAAGGCATATGTGAGATATCATCTGTTTCAACAAGGCACGTAGATACAGGTAGTCCTCGACTTACAACCAAAATTGAGCTCAACGTTTATGTTGCTAAGTGAGAAATTTGTTAAATGAACTTTGTCCCATTTTGTTACCTTTCTTGCCACCATTCTTAAGGGAATCGCTGCAGTTGTTAAGTGAGTGACACAGTTGTTAAGTGAATCTGGCTTTCATGACCAACCGTCATGAGTCCAGATCAGTTGCCAAGCCACTGAAGTTTGATCACCTGATCCTGGGGGGGGGGGGGGGGGGCAAGGATTGTAAGTGTGAAAAACCTCTCACAAGTCACTTTTTTCAATGCTGTAAGTTGAAATGGTCACTAAATGAATGATTGTAAAACAGGGATTATATGTATAATTGTGGTAACTGATGGTTTTGCATTAGTTTTATTTTAGCAATGGAAATGATGGTTGGAATATTCATTTCCTTATCATTTTTTTGGGTCTTTTGATTCTACTCTGAAATGGTATAGGGCCATGATGGCGAACCTATGGCACACGTGCCACAGGTGGCATGCAGAGCCATTTGTGCCGGCACGTGAGCTGCAGGCAAACTTACCTCACTGTGCATGTGTGTGCCTCACAGCTGATTTTCAGTAGGTTTGAAAATACCAGAAGTGACGAAATGGGGCTAGTTTTCAGCCTGCAAATCCTGCAGAAGCCTTCCTCAAGCTTTTGGGAGGCCGAAAAAGGCCTCAAACCAGCTGAAAATCAGCTGTGAGGCGCAGCGCAGGTAAGGGGTGATGGGGGTGGGTGGTTGGGGATTGTGCATGCATGCGTAGAGTCACGGGGGGCGCATTGCCTTCTGGGTGCTGGCACACAAGCACTAGTGTGCAAGCACGTGCACAACTTTTGGCACAGGAGCCCACTGGTATAGGGTCTCCTTGAGCAGAGGGTTGGACTAGAAGACCTCCAAGGTTCCTTCCAACTTTGACCTATTCCATTCCACTCAACTCCATTCCACTCCACTCCACTCTTCCATTTGTATTCTTGGTGGTGTCCTACTCTACTGTAGGAGTCCCCAACTCCCAGGGCCAGAGCCCACTACTGGACTGTGGCCTATTTGGAACTGGGCTGTGGAAGCGGGTGGCTGGAGCGTTCCCATGTACACGCGGCTCCACTTGTGCAAGCCACAGGCTGACGGGCACTTGCACGTGTGCCTGGCCCACTGGTCGTGGAAGTCATCTGTGCACCTGCGTGCCAGCCTGCCACTGGAGCAAGGGCACACACTTGCACGCCATCCTGCTGCTCATGCCACCCAATTCCCCTCTCCCTCCCCCTTCTCCCCAGGCCGGGCTACTAAACCATAGAGGTTGGATATCACTGCTCTAATGATTGTTAACGGTGCCAGACGCCACCGAACAAGACTCTGGAAGAAGTGGCCGCTGGCTTAGGAGCCAACCTCTTAAGAAGCTTAACATCTGATCAGACAGCTCAGGTGAGCACCCTGCACAGCTAACAGGAAGGGTAAGCAGACGCGGAACAGATGGACATCGTCTTCCGAGGTTGTTGTGGCAGTGGCAGCCTTCTGACAAGTGAAAAGATTAATTGCCTCTCCTCCTGATCAGGATGAATGTAGGCTGTTATCCTGTTAGTATCCCTAATTCTTTTTACCCCATCCTAGCAGATTCCGGAAGCTCTCTTAAGAAGCTAAATTTGATGGATGTTCGCTTTACTTCATGTTATAGTTACTTGAAGAAGGATGGCATTACAGGAGTGTCTGTTGTACTGATAGTTTCGATGCCGTGTGTTATTTCTTAGGCGTCCATGCAGCACCGTCATTGTGGGTGGGGATTAAGTGATTTGTCATAAGTCGAGGACTTACCCGTATACGCAGTGGGGTGGATTTAATTCTCAGATCAGTTTTGGCTCTTGATAAAAAGCTTGGTCACAGCTGAAAATGGATCCTTGGGCAGGCTGCACACAGCCTGCCCTAGGCTCTGTTTTCATCTGCAGAGGGGGTTGCAGGAGGCCATCACAGCTGAAAAAAGAGCCTCGATGAGTGACGTCGAGCTGGTCATGCCCACGCTGACCATGCCCTTCGCGGGGTCAGCCCTGATGCAGCCCCCAATGAAATCGAGTTTGACACCCCTGCACTAGAGTCTAGCCCAGGAGTCTTCAAACTTAACAGCTTTAAGACTCATGGACTTCAACTCCCAGAATTCCTCCTCCAGTCATGTTAGCTCAGGAATTCTGGGAGTTGAAGTCCACAAGTCTTAAACTTTAAAGTTTGAAGACCCTTGGTCTAGCCCAGTGGTAGTCAACCTGGTCCCTACTGCCCACTAGTGGGCGTTCCAGCTTTCATGGTGGGCGGTAGGGGTTTTGTCTCCTACTTTATAAATCACCATTACTGCCGAACCGGTGGGCGGTTAGAGAAAAATTTACTACTAACAGAGATACAAAAATGGGCAGTAGGTATAAAAAGGTTGGCTACCCTTGGTCTAGCCCATAAAGTTCCAGTTATAAAGCAAGATGTTTGTTTTACATGACATGCTGAGCCAAAGCTGGCCAAACCCCATACAATGGCTGCATTCAGCCTTGATTTTAGAGATTAGGCCAGTGGTTTTCAACCTGTTATCTACAGAGCCCGGGTATGTGTGAGAGAGATCTTGGCACAAGGAGCCCGCGAAGGCTTGAAGAAATGTTAGGATTTAAATCTCGAGTTAAATCTGGGGGATCCGTGGCCACAAAGGATATTTAAAGAAGGTCCATGGTGAAGAAAGGGTTGAGAATCACTGGATTAGCCTTATGGTTTCCGGATTCCATCTTGCAATGAACTTCAGAGGGACACTGGACTTGATAAACTGGATTGTTAGTTTGCTGTGGCACCCCACACACCATGGTGCATTGTTTACGGTCTGGTAGAATGAACCTAGAAAATTTGGAAACTTCTGGCTTAGACAACTATTACATAAAATATAAGTGTCCCTCTGTGCTTTTGCATCATTATTGGGGCTTTGGGAAATAATCACACTTTTTTTCTATAAAATTGGTTGCAAAATTAGCGAATTTTGCTGATACTTCTCATTGGCTTAGAGCCGTGATGGTGAACGTATGACACGCGTGCTGGAAGTGGCACACAGAGCCATTGCTGCCGGCACATGAGAGGTCGCCCGGAACAGACTCACCGCGCATGCACACGCCCCCCCCGCCAGCCAGCTGATTTTTGGG